TAAATACTTGGGAATGAAAAGATTGCTAAATGTTTTCTTGTGTATATTTCGCATTCATTTTGATATGTATGGAATGTTTAATTCTGCTTCCCTTCCATTTCAACGTCTAGCTTGCTAGCAGATGTCTGAGACAACAGATTAAACCTGCATTGACTCTAAAGCTGCACCTAAGTCAGGATGGAGAGCATAGCAGCCAGGTTTTGCAGACTGACCCAGCTACCTTGCTGCACTTGATCCAGCAACTGGAACAAGCGTTAGGAGAAATGAAAACAAACCACTGCAGGAGAATTGTGCGAAATATCAAGTAGTGTTGGATTTGCATTGTAAATCTGTTCAAATGATTTATAAAGCAACGTGAATGAGCAAGCATTGGTCAGAATTCTTTTTTCTTGTAGTTGAGAGGGTTAAACATCTGAAATAGATGGACTTTGTTTTCCTCTGCCATAAAGCTGATGCATTAATTAGAAGCTAAAGTTCCTTCCTGTGCCCAGCTTTTTAATGGTACAAAGTGAATTTTGTTTTATATAAATAAATGTGTATGTATGATGACAGGTCAACTGGAAATGAATTTATATTCATGGTTTCTGTACATATTAATGTCTTCTAGAATATCTTTTGACTTTTTTGAACTTATAATTGTTTTTCATTATTTTCCTTATGCCCTGATACTAAAAATTGTATTTGAATTACATCTAAAATAAAAATACATGATACCTTAATTATTCAAAATTAAAGTTTTCTTTTAAAGAAACTCATAATGCTGACTTGAGATGTAAAATTTTCAGAATATTGTAGATTGATGAAAGTTCCTATGTTGTCCCTCAGTAAGGGTGATCCTACCTTTTTTCCTTGTTTCCAGCACATTTGTAAAATGGAAATAGCATTGCTATAACATCATTATGGCCCTAAGTCATTATGTATCATTTATTATACTTTGAATTCTTCCAAGTACTTAGAAATACCTTAAAAAATGTACGAAACTGCATTATAATGGAAAGAAGACTTCATTTGAGGCCAGAAAAACTTGCCTGGGTTAAGTCCTAGCTCTGACATTTAGTAGTAATTAGTGAAAGTGATCTTGGGCAAGTCATGTCTCTCTGAACCTCCATTTTTTCTAATGTAGTTCTAACCATCTCATGGAGTTATTGCTTCTATTGCACTTGATGGTTTACAAATGACTGTCCTCAAAACAATTTTGTGAGGTAGGTGACACTATAGTAGTATTCCATAGCCTCAAAGAGGTGCCCAGGCTGGCACAAGCATCAGAATTGGCCTCCTGACTCTTGTAACCACATCAGGGTACTGCCTGTGACGTAATTCACATTTATGTAAGTGCATCAAAGTTTAAAAAGCATCTTCCTAGCAACAACCCTATGAGGTAAGTACTGCAAGCATTATTACCCCATTTTACAGATAAAAATGTTAAGTAACCACCCTTTTGTGGAGGTGGGAGGTCCACTGGTCTTACACGTTACACATGGTCTTTTTTGATTTTTTCAATGGATAGATTAGTTGTGCTGATTTTTTTTTTCTCTTAAAAAAATACCATTTGTTACATGGGTTAGCTCTCTAGGAGGGGCAAAGATACTTGAGATAGCTATGATGATGTAAGAAACAAGATACCAATAAAACCTTTAAAAAAGAAAAAAAAATGTTTGGTAACTTGCCTTTGGTCACATAGCTAGTAAGTGTACTGAAACTTAAATTCAGATCTTCCAACTTTAAAACCAGTGCTCTTCCACTACTAACATATATATACATAACTTTGTAAATTGTAAAGGAGGTCAATACTTGAGGACTTTGAAGTATCTATCCTTCCTTTGGTGTTGGTGGACAGTGTCCCCACGAGGAATGCAAACCCTTTCTGCCTCAATAGACCGTCTTTGTGAGTTTTGTCAGCCTCTGAACACTGATTCTCTGGTTATTGGATGACATACATGTCGTTTTTTACTAGGCTTCAGTCAACCTCAAAATAAGAGGCAGGAGCAGGACAGCCGAGTCTTATTTATCTTCATGCATTGCCAGTGGAAAATATTTTTTTTCCTCTCACGTGCTTATAGAATATGCTTGTTTCCATTGTGAGTATGTACCCAGAGAATGTATGTTTATTTTAATATTATTTTAACAATTGTGATTAGAAATCATTAAAGAGCAGGAATTATTTGATAGCTACTTTAACAGCAAAGTTCCTTGATAACTCCCAGCTGTGTTTGAAAAGTAATCATTATAGGGGCAGCGAGGTGGCGCAGTGGATAGAGCACTGGCCCTGAAGTCAGGAGGACCTGAGTTCAAATCCGGCCTCAGACCAAACACTTGAACTTACTAGCTGTGTGACCCTGGGCAAGTCACTTAACCCCATTGCCTAGCCAAAATAAAAAAACAAAAAAAAGAAAAATAATCATTATAGCATGTAGTAATAGTACGTTATAGTAATAGTATATTACATATACATGTAATAGTATACATGACCAAGCCATGTCAAACAAAAATAACTCCGTCCACGACTTGTATTTGTTCGCCTGTAGTTGAAGTTCAACAGGACCAATCCTATGCAAAATTTCTCACCAGTCTCTTCTTTTTTGTTTGCCTTCCCGTTATCTAGCCCCTTCTTGCTCTCCAGATCAGAAAGCATCTGTTTGTTGTTTTTCCAGTTGTCTTTTTGCGTCTTCTTCCCCAGTTCAGTGACAGCTCTTTTGAGACCTTCAGTTGCTCTTGCCAGGTAGAGAAATGAATGTATCCTTTTGCCACTGGCTTGTTTTAGGACTTCAAATACATCCTGCCCTAATCTAGGTCAGCCAGCAGGCCCTGTCTTCTTCCTACCTCAGTGTGCTTAGGACCCTCTTTCCATCTCTGCGCCCCAAGATTCTTGAGATTGTTCTGTCAGCAGTGTGACATATAAGTTAACGTTTTTCACGTTTTAACATCATACTTGCTCTTTGTCGGTGTCCTATAACATCTTGTTGCTTTCTGTCTTTAGTAATGAGGTTTGACAAAGAAGTGTGGTGTTGGAATCCCTCTTTGCTAAGAGAGGTTTTACTGTATTGCAAAGCCATTTTGCAACCATAAGAACCTAACTAACACAGTCAGAGGTAGAACAGAAAGGATAATTTGGGCTTTGTGACTAGGTAGTGTTCTCTTAGGCCGTGATTCTCAAACTTACTTAAGGAATGTTTTTGAAATCCAACACAATCTCAGTTAGCTTTTACAATTGAACTTGGCATTTCTCATCCATCAATACATATATACATGTAATACTTATAATAATACACATCATTTTCCTTTTCACGGGAACCTGAAGAACCCATCTACCATTCTGCTATTTATAGGTACAGTTGCACCAAAACCATTCATTATCTATCCTGTTTTTAAGTCTCCAAGAACAATGTAAAATAACCTTAGAGTATTTCACAATCTTTATATTCAAAAAGTTCTTTCTGCTATCTAACTGATAGCCATGACATAATGTAAGTTCATATTTTCCATCTGTTGTATGGAATATCCCTATATGTACTAAAATCTACCCAGATTACTCTTTTTAAGGCTGAATCATCTCAAGTTTCTCTAATCCTTTTTCCTTTGTATATAATACAGCAACACATTCCTCTCTTAAGCATTTCTTCCTCCAAGAGATCTCATTTGAATTCCTTCCCTGACAGAAGCACTGAGTGGGATTAAGTCTTCCCCCCACTTGAGCTTGAGAAGTTGGGTTAAGCTAGACTGATTCCACCTCTTTTTAAACTATTTAACCTATTGTAATATCTCAGTCACTTTCTTTCAAAAAGTGAGTATTTGCTTCAGCAGCCCTTACACGTTAAGAAAAAAAAAATGTCCTCCCGTGGCCAACTGTACTAGCTAAGTCTAGGAGGCCAGTGATGTTTGAGTGTAAGAGTATAGTCTTAAAAAAAAAAGTATAGTCTTTTTTCCCCTAGCCTGTATAAGGCTAATACAATATGCTTATGAGCATAATTCAGAGAAAATGGTGATAAACTTAGTAATAAGAAGAAACAGGGGAGCCAGGTTTGTAATGTTTAGTTATTATATTTTTGCACTACCATCCTCCCGAGGAACTCAAAAGAACTTAAGTATTTTTGTTAATTACAGGTCTAGAAGACTCTATGTGGCATAAAAGTAAAAATAGAAAAAGTAGTTTAGTTTCCATTATGGGCTTAATGCTGGAGAGTACAAACATCTGTACAAACAAAAACTTAGGCTTAGCCCTGTCTGGGCTCTGAATTGTTTGTTTTTAATTTTATAGTTAGACTTTTGACATTTTAAACCAAAGCCATTGTTTCTGACTCGTAGGATAAAAGGTGATGCGTTTCCAACAGTTACAGTGCAAATGGTGTTGCTATAATTAGGACTGTAACTAGGTGTGTACAGTCTTTTATGCGCTTATTAGTGATCAAATGCACATTCCTTCAGTCACGCTGGAGCCTTGTATAACGTTTTCTTCTTGCAAAGATGAGACCGTTATTCATTTTCATCTCTTGCTGTTGTGCACAGAGCAGTCCCTACAATAACCAACCAGAGAAAAAATGGAGAAGAAGGCATTTTTGCTCTTTCACCAACCATAAAAGGCCTTTCTCTTTGATTCAGAGACAAGGCCATCATCTACCCATCTCTATTTATGTTGACGAGAAAAGCAAATTAGACAGTACTCTTCCTGATACATATTGAAGATTCATTTAAAACAAACAAAAAAACCACAATTATTAAGAGCACTTTTTGGGACTGAATGCCCTACAGAATAAGGGATGAAGTCCTTACCTTTTGGGATTTTCCAGACTTAGAGCCAGACCAATAATCTTAACAGTTTAGTCTAAAGGGAATGAGAGTGCAGAAAGGGCCTTTTGCCCAAGGAGAATTCCTGTAGTCTCATATCAACTAGAGCTGTTTTTCTTCCAAGTCCAACCCTTCAAGGATCCTTTCATATTTCTTTCAGGGCTGAAACACCCATGTGATTCAGTGTCCAGAGCTGTGCAAATGTTGTGGGAAGGCCAAATAGAACTACAATGTGTTTCACACTTACTATGAAAGAAGAGAATTCAGTTCCACTTTTTTATATTGGAGTGGGGTACCTTGAGGTAAGCGGAGTTGTGATGGGAAAAGCAAATTGTGTTCTCGTTTACCTGCATGCCAGTATTGTGATTGTCACAATTCCAATGAGAAGTGGATGCCTGTGGTTATGAAGGAATGTGCTTAGTTCACGGAACCCAAAGGTTTCCCAGTTAACTAAAAGAGTAAAGACAAACCAGATTAAAATTCAGAGCATAAGGAATAGAATCCACCACAGGCCATTGAACCTGACTGGGATAAGTGTGAATGGTTCACATATCACAGAAGGTTTTGTTTTACAGGTTACATGACAAACTGTGTTCAATGCTGCAGAATAATTAAATGGTCTGTAATCAGTCTTCTCGTTTGATGTATTGGTGGGTTTTGCAGAACTTAAATTTTCTTTTTTTATCTTTGTCACGAGGCAAAGTTTGCTAGATTGAGGAAGGGAAGGGGGGGATATATTTAGAAATTAGTATGATTTAAAAATTAATCTATTAAGTGGTATTATTTACTTTTAGAGATTCATAATTCATTATCAAGGAGCTAGTGGGAGGGAGAAGGCAAGGAGGGTCATGAGTAATAATTCTTTGCCACTCAAGAAAAAAATTAATGTCCTTGAACATTAGGGAGGTAATGTGGTTTAATGTCAGGAGCTCTGCCCCCAACATAGGAGGACCTGGTTTCAAGTGCTGATACTACTTGTATGCCCTCAAGTCACTTAACCTCGAAGGCCACAATTTCCTAATCTACAAAATGAGTGGTTTGGATGAAATGGCTTCTGAGTTCCCTTTCGACTCTTAGATCTGGTCCTATAATCTGTGTTCCATTTTTCAGGCTAAAATGGTTTTGTTTTACTTTGTGTGATAGCAAAATGGCCTGTCCAGATTTCAAGATTTCAAGTCTCATTAAAAAAAAAATCCTGTCTATTGTTTTCTTTTTTTGGTCTTCCTTTAGATAATATCAAATTCCCTGGCTTTCTTCTGAATGCTGTCTCTCCATAAAGCTCTCTGCCAATCCTTTCCTGCTAAAGCCTTTTGCTCTTCATGAAGTCAGTGATTTATTCTTATTCTTGGAATTGCTCTGATGTATCTTTATTTTTTTTTAATTTTATTAACTTATTTTGATTTATCAACAATCACTTCCATATGCTTTTGAGGTGAAAATTTTTCTCCCTCTTCCCCCCCCCCCAAAGACTGCGCAGAGTCTGATATAGGCTTTGCATTTACATACCCATTAAACATATTTTCACATTAGTAAAGTTGTAAATAAAAATTAAAACAATAGGAGGAACCATCTCTTATGTATCTTTAGAAAGTTGGAAGGTAAATCCTTTGGTAGATACCCTTTGAAAGACTTCATAAAGCATTTCTAGGGATGACGTTTTATTATTCTCTTCGCAGATAAATGTTATAAAAGACAAAGCAGAGTTTCTCTTAGGTAAGCTATAGGGCAAAGTTATTCTCCAGTTGGCTGAGTATTTTATTTTTTTACCCAATTCAAACATTATACTAGGCAGAATGCCAATCAAATTCATTATTGGAGCAGACTTAGATGAAACCAGGTCCAAAGAAAATGAGATTAGTATCATAGCCATCTGACTATGCTATAACTTTCCAAAATCCATCCTTTTACTGGCCTTTGGAACATTATTTTTCTTGCAGATTACATAAAACAATGCAGTAGTTGATACCTCCAAGCTTTATCTGGCTTATTTTTTTAAATAGACAAACTTTTTTTTTTTTAGTTTCAGTTTTCAACTCCAAAAAGTCTGCCAGTAAAAATAAAGAGTGGTTCTGGGGTCATTTGGAAAGAAGCAGGAAAAAAAGCCAGTAAATATGGCTTTTGCTTTTTTGAGTTTTGTTTTTTTTTCTTCACGTGTTCTATTATTGTTTGTCAGAGCAGTATGATGTAGTGGAGAGCTAGGCTCAGAATCAGGAAGACCTGGGTTCAGGTCCTGATGCTCTGTGACTCTAGATAAATAAATCTTTTTCACTTCTCGCTGTTCTAACTTCCTAATACTAAGCAGCTGAGAGAATCACTTCTTGACTAAGGAGTCCCCTATACTGATGAAATTACAGGTCCTGTCTCTTTTTTTAAAGTTATTGTTGTTTTGGTAAAATCTTCATTAGTTTTGCTTAACATTGATAGAGAACCAAAGATTGGAAATTGATTTTTGCTCAAAATACCTGTAGATGTTGTCAATCCTAAGAGTGTCCTTAAATTTACTTGTGCAAAGCAACAGTGGAGGAATTTATTCATGTGATATTTTAAGACAGCATTATAGGAAGGGACACTGCTGAAATTAACAGAGGAAAAAATCTTCTGAGATTATTTTCCCTAGTCCTAGAAGCAACACTGCCCAAGGTATGAGTTAGCTGTTACCTGTCCTCGAAATAAAAACTTTGCTAGGTTGGTTGATGCCACTGGTGCCTGTAAACAAAATCTTTGAGACTTTGTCTTCTCCAATGAGCATATAGAACCTGCGAAATAATTCAAACCATTCTTCTGCTTTGGAATTTGTTTAGGGCCATTTTTTACAGGTATTTGGAGGGGTTTGGGGGAGAGCTCAAGCAAGTCACTCCTTTTACTCTACCATCTTGGCACCACCTCCCAAACCATTCTTAAAGGGAGGTAGAACTTAGTGATAGAATGATAAAATGTCATTGAGAGTAAAATAATTAAATGTCAGCAAAAAATCTTGTTAATTCAATTTAGAGAGCATTAATTGAACACTTACTAAATGACAATCACTATTCTAGTTCTTCGAGGTACCAAGACAGCAAAACAATCCCTTTCTTCAAGGAGAGTGGACCTCAGAACCAGGAAGAACTGGTTCTGGTTCTTTTCTGCTAGGTGGCATCAGCTAATCAACAAATATTTATTAAGCACTTAGTATGTCCCAGATATGCCAAAAAAAAGCCTGACTTGTATCATTACTGTATACTGCTAGACTACATGGTGGTCTTGATTCTAATTCCAAATTTCTTGGAATAATTTTGAAGCCAATATTGGAATGGAATATAAAAAACCCTACACAGATGAAAAAAAAAAGGCTGATTCAGTGGTTTTGTCTGCTGAACCACTTTTTGCTATTAGCTGGGAAAAGGGAGAGGCCATCATCCCTCAAGGTTGGTTCACCAAAGTCTTGGACATTGACGTAGTAGAGGAACAAATCTGAGGCAGGCTGTATATAGTGCCCTTTTTCTTTCTGTCCTGGACTCCTTTCCTTGAACGTGGACAAACCCAGCTCTACCACAAACCTGCTTCCCTTTGGAAGCATTTTATAAACCATGCAATTTTCCTTTCCACTTCAAATATAAAAGCTAGCTTCAGAGTAGGGCCATTTGGGAGCACTTTCTTAAAATTCTCTATCTTGTTATTTATTTAAACATTATTGGAAAATTTCAGTCAAGATTGCAAGACTTTGGGAAAAGTCAATAGTTCTATGAGAGAACTATAAGCAGGGAGAAACGTAAGCTCAACAAAAGGGGTGTGTATGTGAATAAAATTTTATAAATGAATTATGTGAATAAGGTTATTACTCTTTGAGAAGTTTTGCAAAACCAGGTTGTTATTCTGTGGCCCGAATGAGAACGCATGCCCATTGAAGCACTTTGCAAGTACCATATAAGTCAAAATATTAGTAGTATTCTAATAGAACATATGCATTCAACTTGACTATTTGGCTGCACAATCCTCTGCACGTAGGAGCCACTTGATAAATGTTTGTTAAATGGAATGATTTGCTTAGCATCTTTTCACATTTTTCTCATTTCCTGCCTGATCATTTATTTCCTGTTTTACTTATGAACCTTTAAAGTTTTTAATCATGTGGTTTTAGGGAAATTGGGCCAATTTTGGGCCTGATGACTAACTAGGGAGAAACTTTTGTGGATTTGGGGTCTGTTAGTTGACAGTATAGTCAGAAAAGGACTGGGTAAAGGGGAATTAAGTTAAGCTCCATCCTACTCCATTGGATATTATTTTAGGAAAAGAGAATGAAAGCAGAATTTTCAGAAACAGAATCATATGGGACATTGCCTGTTGCTGGATGAGTTTGATAGGAATATTAGAAAGTGACTCTCAAGAAGTAGTTACCAGATGGGAATGCATTCTTTTGTTCCTTTGGCATTAGCCACTCTGTCTCTCCTAGACTTTTCCTCACTTTCCAGAACTAGCCTGTCTCTCTTTTTCTTTCTTCCCTTTCTTAACATCTCTCCCATACCTCCCCTCTCCATTTACACAGTCACCACCCTTAGTTAAGGCCCTCATCGCCTCACTTCTGTATTATAACCATGACCTAATTGTTCTCTCCTCACTCCAATCCATTTTCCACAGGGCTGCCAAAGTGATTTTCTGTTTTTTAACATTGGTCTGACCTTGTCACTTTGGCCCAACCCCAACCCCCCTACATTTTCAAACTCCAAGAGCTCACTATTGTGTCTATGATTAAATATAAACTATTTTGTTTGGCATTTGAAGCTCTTTACAGCTGAACTCCATTGTACCTTACCAGCCTGATTGCATCTTACCAACCTCTACAACCCAGCCAAACCGGCCTTCCTCCTCTTCATACCCAGTGCCCCATCTTCTCTCTCCTTGACTTTGTACTAGATTTCTCCCATGCCTAGAATTTGCTTCTTCCAACTCAGCTCGAGTGCCCCCTTCCTAGTGCCCCCAAAGCTAGCACCTTACCCTCCAAGGTTATCTTGTGTGTATTTTATATGTATCTATGTATGTGACTGTGCCCTCCCCTTTGGAATATGAGTTCCTGGAGAGCAAGGGCTGATTCTGTTTTGTCTTTGTATTCCCAGCACCTACCACAGTCCTGGGCACATAAGTGCTTAATAAATGTTTGCCTATCTATTTATTGATTCAGGTTTTAATTTTGTTCCTCTTCTTCTTAATACCAACTCCTAAACTCTCCCTCTCATTTTTGTTACTGTTCTTATCTCAAACTCAAACTTAGTATGTCTATGATACAAACAGTCTTAACGAGGGCCCTGCTACATATGCTAGGGTAATT